GGATCATCTGTCTTCCATCCTTAAACTCTGCATGGAAGTTACAACATTCATGAGAATCCCAATCATGTGTGTTAGCAGAAAAGACAGTAGAAACGTGTGTTTCTTCATTGCCAGGGATCCATCATTTTTTCTGCATCTATTTTCTTTGGGGAAAGAGGCACGCTTGAGAGAGGGGCTGGGTCCTCATCTCAGATTTGTCTTGGAGTCTCACCTTGCTTTTGGTTCCACCCCCTCTATCATACTTCCAGAGATGCTTTAACATACTCCCTTTACATGCAAAAGTAGTCACCTTCCTACAATGCCCTGGGAAAGAATCCTAGTGTCACAGCACAGAGAATCATGGGATATAGGCCCTCAAGGATTGTGGCAGACCTGAGGACACAGTGGATGCGTCTACATGAGACGCTTTGAGTGCAGTAGACTAATTCCACTGCACATTAGCGCAGTGGACAAAACCCATGCTAATGTGCAGTAGATTTTTGTCTAGTATGCATTAATGGCACAAAAAGACTATTCATTTGCGCTAATGTGGAGTAGCGCCCATTACAGTGAATTAAATTAGTACCTGTCATTACAGGTACTTAACTTAATGCGTCGTAATTATGGTGCATTAATGAACATGAACACAAGCCCACTGTAAGGGCCTTGTTGCATGTACACTTGCAATAGTCTTTCCTGCCCTTGTGCAGAGGGCTGGCCCCAATGATCTGTAAGGTCCCTTCCAGCTTTTAACAACTATGAATACTTACAAATCATTAAAATGCAGTGATCTATTAAAGTTAGCATGTGTTAGGAGATAACCCTTGCCTGAAAGGGAACAACTTTGCAGAGCATAAGGGTTTTTAACATGTCCCCAGTTATCTGAACTTGCTTCTGTTTGTGTTTTAAATGCACTTCTTCAGTTAAATTGAATGTCTGATACCACCCGAGCGCAGGCTGGTCTTGGCATTGGTGATATTCATAGCAACGTCTTAGATAAGCTAATGCGGATGTCGATTACTTGGGTTAACTACCCAGTGAAGACCCAGGAGAGAAAGGGATCTTGATGCATCATTATCTGATGCCTTAACTTCAGAAAAGCAGTTTTATAAGTCAAATTACTGGAAATGAATTGAGGTATTAAGCATCTTTAATTATCTCAATGTCTACTGAGGGGCAATTAATTTTACAGTCCCTGAACAAATGGGGAAAAACACCTTTTGTCCTCAAGAGCAAATTTAAAAAAAAATGCTTCTAATCATCTGTAGGTAATCCAAAGGGCAGGAGCCCACTGTGCTCTAATACTTTGGTTGAGATGAGAGGTGCACAGAGCTGAATCAACAGGGATGACTCAATCTGTGATTTTGATGATTTAGCGGAAACCACAAAATCGGGCATTGTCCAAAATCTCTGAACTTAAAAAAAATAAAATAAAATAAAATACTGGCTCCCCAGTAGGAGTCAGCATTCCTCATGGCTACTAGGGCCTCGTCTCACAGACCACTGGGGAGAACTGCCAGTGTGAAGGGGAGTAGCCAAGATGGTGGCCACCCCCCATGCTTTGCTGCTGATTGGCTGCGAGGGCTGCCTTTTATGTAGCCCCACTCCTCTTCACCAATCAGTGCTAAGGAGTGCTGCACAATGTATATCCCTCTTGGCCAATTAATTACAGAAATGGGGCCACCAGGGCTCCTTAGCCAATGAGTGGTATGGGGGGGGGGGCAGGCACTGGGAAAATGGCATAGCTGGCCCTATGATTGGCTTGTGAAATTGGCTGCCTGCCGCCTTGATTTCCATAGGTCCCTGTGTGTCAACCCTCCTGGCTGGGGCCTTCCAGGGAAAAGGAGCTGGAGCTGGTGCTGTAAGGGTATATGATAAATGAAAGTGCAACATATTCTCCCCCATCTATAGATGGAGATCATGAATCACCTGAAACAGATGCTTTCAAATTCCATGATGATTCTTCATTACAAAAATGCCTGTCCAGTATTCTGCTGTATTCAGTTGCTGATATCACCTTCATCATGATAGTATTCAAGACCTTTTCATTCATGACTGTTGTCTGTCACATCTCTGCCTCCCATAATTTCCTCAGGTAGAGGATGATGATTACTGTCTTATTTGTTTTGGTATTATTTTTTTTCTGTTTGGCAGTGGGGGTGGGGAGAAAGCTGTTGAGCAAAGCAATTAAACAATTCAAAGATACTACATTTTTCTGGAATAATGCATTGTTCATATAACCCACATTTATATTAAGAGTCAAAATAAATTGTAGAGGCCATCAAATATTAACCTGCCTTGTTATATGTACAACTAATGTCCCTGGGCATCGAAATATTTGATGGTACCCTGTATCTACCAATTCTGGTACTTTGGGGTCCAAAGGGCAGGCACAGATAATAATGGATACAAGATCAGACCTGCAATTATTCTGCCTTGAACTTTTAATGGGAAGCCTTTGAAGACCAGGGTTCCACTTGGTCATATGTCTATATACAGACCTCTTTGGCTTCAGCCTTTGATAGGAAAACAAGGAATTTTTGAGCCAATCTACCTTGAATGCATCTTCTTTAGGACAGTTTGCCTTAAGCAACCTGCGAGTTGGGACATAGCGTTTAGAGCACATACTTGCAAACAGGAACTCTGTCTTAATTCTACACTTTTGTCCAATTCCCTTGAGTTATCATTGCCTCAGGAAGGTGAGCAGTATTTAACTGACACCAGTGTAAAGGTTATTGGGAGGGCATTTGAGATGGTTGCAAACTCAATCAATATTTTGAACAAAATGAGTAAAAACCACGGTGCTTGTGTTATAGTAACATTTGGCAAATACTGACTTACTGCAAGATCTCAGCGTGCAGTTTTTCTGCATTGGTGTACATCTATCTATACACGGTGTAGGGATGGGTATTATTCCACTGAATAGTTTTTGTTAAAACACGTGCTGCGTGTTCATATCCACACAGCCCAAGCACACCTTAACTCTGCCCAATTGTTTGTTTTTTTTTTTTCTTTCAGGAATGGAAAACATCAATCTTTGCTTCAACTGGAAGTCACTAATTTTAAGTTAACTTATTATTTACCATTAGCTGCTTTCAGTGCCTCAGGAATGAAGTTTAGTGCCCAGGGCAAAGCCCGCAGTGGCAGCCCGCCCTCACCCTGCACACAGATACGGGGGGCACATGCACCCTCCCCCATGCTTGCCCAGGAGTGCATGCCATGGCAGGAGCCACCCTTCCCCATCTCTGCACCCCCCAAAAAGAGCCACTTGCAGGTCCGCCCTGAATTAAATCCCAGCTAGGCAGCATCTATCGTCACCCCTTCACTTCGGCACCCAGGGTGGTCATCCCCTCTCTCCCCTCCCCCCCCGGCTTGCTATGGCACTGGCTGCTTTAGACGTAATTGTAGAGACTGAGGGTGAAGAGTGGGGGGGAGGAATGGGGAGAAGGAAGAGAGGCACATACATCTCCAGTTTCATTTTTAGTGCCAAAGTTGTTATGTATTTTATTCTCAAACTCACTATTCTCAAGACAGCTAGTTGTTCAAAATATCACCCACAAATGGCAGCAGCTCACTAGCATTTTAAAAAGATGGTTGGGTGTGCTACTCTCTTTTATGATTCCTTTTCACATTAAAATCCGATATGTAGTAGTTGCTAACTGCATATATATACTGATTTGGGACTTCTTGTGTCATAAAATCTCTGAAGCAGAGCCTCATGAAACACAAAACACTGACACTAGTACAGAAGCACCAAAGCCAAGGCTTGCTGATGAAGATCTGCTATTTGTATTGCTGTGGGGCACAGAACTACAGGCATCATAATGTTTATTTCTCTCTCTACATAACATTTGTAGAACTTTTTAAATCTTCGAGGGGGAATAAGCAAGCTGTCAAGGAAGCCCTGCCCTCCAAAAAAAAAAAAAAAAAAAGCCCCAAAAGCAAACGAACAAAAGTAAAGATCCTGCATTTATTCAATAATACACAACTATAAGTCCCTGCCTCAAAGGACAAAGGAATAAGAAGCCTATTGACTAAACAAACTGCATAGCGCCTTCTTTGTCTCTCTCTTTTTTTAACTTACAGGTAGCTAGTCTATGAACGCTGCAAGAAATTCCTAGCATGGAGACTGATTATTCAAATAATGTCAGGAGTGTCCTTTTAGAGATGCAACAAATGTCTGAAACCCAGCAAAAAGCACTAAAAGAGTGTACACTTGAACATAAAGCCCCACTTGGCTGACCATACAGTTCCTATAGCTTGTTTCTGGAACCACAAACTTCCCAAACTTTGAATAAAGTATTACGGTTTCTTTTAAGCTTTAATACTCCATAGAAATAAATGATACAATCCAAACTGCACCATAGTCATAAACCTCTGGACAAGCATATAAAGATCATTAAATATAATACTATATGTGTGTGTGTGTGTGTGTGTGTGTGTGTGTGTGTGTGCGTGTGTGTCTTATAGTCTATCTTGCTTCCTTATTAAAAATAACCAACCAGGGAAGCAATCTTCTGAAGACTCAGCTGAAGAAATATTTACTGATTTTAAACCTTTAGCTTTTAGAAAACAAGAGGACTCTCAAATGACATATCCCACCTTTTCAAATGCAGTATAAAGTCACAGGAAAGTGCCAAAATTAGCACTGTCATCCTCTCTGTTGCCCGCTCGTTTTACTGCAGCACAGAGCTGGTGAACGACTCAAAAACATATACCTGTAGTGTCTGTTTAGCAGCATAGCCTCTCGTTACGTTTTACCTCCTCCTCACATGAATACAAATTCAACATCTTTCTAGCTAGCTATAGATTATCTTTTTTTTTTTTTTTCTTCCCTTTGCCTGGAATGAATGCATTGGGAGCAGCAGCAATTAATAGAAACCTAGCATTAGTAAAGCAGTAAAATTGTTGTTTTCTTTCCGTAATTCTCATTAGCAGGAGAGAGAGCAAATGAAGAGGCAGAAAATGCAGCTCTCCCAGCACCATGCACATTGCAGCAGACAGCACAATTCTGTACTTACAGTTCTTTACAGTGAAATGTCTCAGGATCTTTACAATTTTCTGCAGAAGTGTTTCAAGCTCTCAGCAAGCCACACTGTTCATCCAGGCAGAACCAAGCCGTATGGAATGTCTATGCAGCTGGGAGATAATGGAACTATTTTCCCAGCTGGGACTACAAGCCTTTTATCCACTGAGTATTGCGTGTCTCTTCACTGGTATTAACCATGAAATACACTGCTTTCCTGCTGAATTCATGACAGGACCCACACAATTAGTGCTTGAATCACATGCACGCAGCTACTGTGGTTTATCATGGAAATCTTGCACATGTAAAAATTAGCTCTCTACTAATCATCCGTCATGCAAGATGAGAGAGCAAAAGCGCAGCTGTCACACCAGTAGCATGAAAGATTAAATGTGCTCTTACCATGCTTTTCATACAGATATGAGCTCCTGTCAGGTAATCAGAAAAACCCTCTTTTCTTCAAAACTGGGTCACTAGGAACAGGAATGGAAATGATTTTGTTTGCTCCCTTGTTCCCATAACTGTTCTTTGCATGACATAAGATTAAGTTTGAGCAATCTAGTCTCAGATTATACTCAAAAACTGTCCTCATGAAACATTTAAGTGACCTCCTCTTTGTCCTTGTCTGAAGTAGCACAAACCCAGAGCCAAATTTTAATTGTGAATAAACTTCTTTGTACTCCAACCCCCTTCCTGGAGTAACTCCAGCACATTAGAGGCAAGGCCAATGGAAGAGGGTCCCTTTACTTGGCTAAGTAAGTTATTTGTATTCACCAGGGAGGGAAAAGGAAATGGTAGTTTACACAACAGTTCTGCCAAAAAAAGTACATTGTTTCACAGCCATTGCTTCACCAAAACCATTTAAAGTAATCCCAATGTAAATCCATTACCGTGTAATGGGATTAATTGCGTGCCTGCCGCCAATAATAAGATGCAAAGAGGAACGGGAAGTCGGACATGCCTGTGCCAAACAGACTCAAATGAAATGCTAGTAAATAAAATACAGGGAGATTTTCATTTGGTGCAATTAAATGGAAGCTCCTCCATTAGTACAAGGTATGAGTAATGGACAAAATGAATCTCTGGCATGATGTGCGTGACTGTATGCCAAGAATTATCATGTCCCAATATATAATTTTATGCAGTAAACATGGTGCACAAGTGGGACAGTAAAGAAGGGGGGACAAATATTTTACTACTTACAAGGTACAGATACAAAAAAAGCTCTGCAAGTAAAAAATGTCAAAATGGGCCAGGCAGTCATCAACATTTTAGCTGCATAATATCATCCAGAACAGGGGTTGCCAAACTGTGGGATGTGTACCCCTGGGGATACACAAGACGTCTCTGGGGGCTACGTGGGAGAAATTGGGTAATGGCAGAATTAATTTTCATTATAATAATAATTTGCGTTTAAGGAGTTAAAATATAAAACGTATACTGGTAGGAGTATGTGGGCAGCTGGTGAATCAAGAAGGTATACAGTAAGACCAGTTTGGGAACCTCTGATCTAGAACATTAGAGGCACTGTATAAGAGTGACCCTAAATACACATTTTAGGATAAATTAAAGTGTGTCCCTAGTGCATCTGATGCTTGCTGATATATGTCATGGTGTGTGGTTCTGAGGACTGCTGGCCTCTCTAAGAAGAAATGCCAAACCTGTTGAAGTGTTTGTGCTCTGTCAACATGTAGTAGTTATCCCATAGACAAACTGCAGCTTGATATATCCGTTTTGCAGTAAACTTCAACTTTTCTTTTAGTTCCAGAGACCATGACTCCTGGTTTGGAAAACCTTCCTTGCAACTGTTAAGTGAAGGGGAGCACAAGCAGAGGGGGCAGAAGCACCTCCAGTTTTCTGAAGGCAAAAGAAAACATAGCTTTCTTTTATGGATTTGGGGAAACAGTTTGCTGCATCTCCCAAGGGGAAGGCCAGTAGTGCATCACAATGGTTTCTTAACATGGAAATCTTGGTTACTGCCTTTGCCATGGACTCCTTGTATGACCTTGAAAAAAACCCTTAGTTTCTCTGTGCCCCTATACAATACATGTAGCAGTACTACATGGACTTAAAGAACAACTGTAAGAGTAAAATAATTAAAGTTTACAAAGCCCTTAGTTATTATGCTAATGAAGGGTGCCATATAAATGCCATGGATAGCATGCCATCTCTGCCATTGATTGACATGGTGAGGGCTCCCCCTCCTGTTTCAATCCACTTTTAGCCATATTCCTGATTTCTGCAATAATATTTTCCACTTCTGTTATATCTTTTGTCTGAGGATCTGAAAATACTTTTCAGATGATTAATTAAGCCTTGCAGCATCCTATGAAGTAGGTAGGTGTTTATAAATAGCAGTGTATCTAATAAGGTGGCAAATATCAAATATCTAAAGAATGTGAGTACCTTTTCTAGGTTACATCAAGAGAAATGGGTAAACACAGAACAGGCATTGTGTTCCAAAAAAAGTTGAGAGAGATATTTCATTCTGATATAAGAAGTATAATGATATGTTTTGTATTTTTCTTTCCAAACAGAAGTTTGTTGAAATTGAAACTTCTCTATTAAATGTTTCATTTTGATTAAACTGACATTTTCAGATAGAAAAAAAATGTTCCAAGTAGCTCTAGTTATCTATCAAAATGTAGATAAAAAAAACCTTAAGAGTCCATCAAATGAGTTTATACTTTTTTCACTTTCAGGAATTGAAAACCCTTTAAAGAATTTTCTCCTAACAAAGAAAACTTAAAGTATATATATTTTAATATCTATAAACAAAGTTTCTCTCTTATGGAGGTGTTATGTATAAGAGTCAAGGGTGTAGGTTGTAGCTGTCTTGGTCTAAGGATATAGGCAAACAAGGTTCTTTGGGTAAATCCAATATCTTTTATCAGACGAACAGTCAATGCACTAGAATAATATGTGTGTGTTTGTGTGTGTGTCTATATATCTCTATATATATCTGTGTATCTGCGTATATATCTGTGTATAAATGGATATATATATTCTTCAGTGCATTAGAAGAATTAAGAATATAGTGCATAGTGAAATCAAGGAAAGAACTTTTCCCCTTGGATGGCAAATCACTGGTACATACATACAGACAAGAGTTCCAATAGCCAGAAGAAAATGTGCAAAGTCCCTGTATATCTTAGCAGGCCATTGCTGATAAGACTAAAAATAATTCACTGATAAAATCTTGTGTATGAACTGGAAGATGGATAGAGTCTAGTGAATAAGCTGGAAGATAGGTCTGAATTAGAAGTGTCAGTCCAAGGTGTTTGTTAGGAGCTTCTGAGTCTCTGGAGGATATTCTCTCATCCTTTTTGTTGTGAATATAAGAACTCCCCCTAATTGATGTATAATACACCTGTAAGAGAAGGAACCATTTTTTCTTACCTCTTCTTTTGGTCAAGCTTACAACTGTGTTTCCAACTGTGCAGCAGTACTGAAATTTTGAATGCCGGATTCTTTGTACCCTTCTCAAATAATTTATTGCCCTTGAGTTAATCATCTGAATAATATTTATGAGTTACACCCTTGGAATCAATGGGACTAAGAGCAGCATAGGCTGACCCATAATGTCCATGTCACGCTATTTCTCACAAGCAGTAGTACTGTTTTGACACCTAAGCATGGCCATATTATGTCATATGGGGAAAATTCTAAGCGCCAGACAATTTGGACAATACTGATTCCCATAGTTTATTACAGCCCTGGTCTGTCTACGCTGCCAAGCAAGTTGTGTATTTTAATACACTCAGGTTGAAAAGAAAGTGAAGACAAGTAACTTGGGTTTTAATCTAGCATAGGAGTTCTGGTTGAAGCCTCTATGGAATCCAGGACTTGAACTTGAGCTGTTAACCCATGTTATAACCAAAATTGCAAAATTGTCACTGAGGGTTGCTAACTAGGATAAACGCAATCTGACTTAAGGACATGCACACTTTCACCTTCATACTGCTGTGTTGAGGAGGTAGGTAGAACAGCCCCACAGTTGACTTGGCCCTCCCCATCTGCAGTGAGATTTCATGGGCTGAAGGCATTTTTAGAAGGTGGGGTCATTTGTGTGTCAGCTGCATACTCCTAAATTAACCCGTCCTGTTTTATGGCAGAATAGAAGAACTGTTGCCAGTGAAACCCACAGTCCCAACTTCAGGATTCTTGTGCGTGGAAGCAGAAATCATTGTGAGACTATGCTAATTCTGTAGAGAAAAGGCCTGTCTTTACCACATTTGTACCAGTATGACCCAGTATCACAAAGCCATAGATACTTACTGACTGACCTCCACAATTACTCAGGAAAAGAAAAGAAATCTGCTATGGAACTGATAATCACTCTTTTCTCAAATGTCATTGTGCTATTTAATATCTTTTCTTACTCTCCTTGTTAATATTCTACTGAAGAACATGTAGAGCCTCATCTGCTTAAAATTGCTTTTCTCTTTATGCTCCAACATATTGGTACTGAGAGGACTGCTAGCTTGGCCAAATATGCTGCAGCCTGAAAGGTGTGTGTGTGTGTGTGTGTGTGTGTGTGTGTGTGTGTGTGTGTGTGTGTGTGTGTGTGTGTGTGTACACAAAGTACCTTCTTCTTCCATTGCTGACATGGATTTTTATATTCCAGAAAAATAGAAAACAAATATGAAGCAGGATATCATGGGTTAACAAAGACAGTTTAACAGGAAGGCATATGTTTAGCTTCCTTTTTTAATGAGTGTGAAAAAGACACAATTAAAAACATTGAGTTGATCGGTCTTTTTCACACCAAACCCATCAAAGAGTCAACATGACTAGTTTAGCGATACATTCAACATAGCTCTTTTCTCAACCTCATCTGCAATCTATGTGCTCTCTTATAGTGTGCCCATGGTCCTAATCTTCCAAGTTATGAGGTAATGACTGGACATAGGGATGGGACAAGCACTAATCATTAAAACAGAGATGCAACAATTAGTAATGCTTTGATTGCACAGGGAGAGTAATTAGCCTCCAGCCGAACACATACCTAAATAAATTAGAACAACAAGACCTTTGAACCCAAGAGACTCTAACACTATAAAGAAGATAGAAAAAGCTCCCATTAAATCGGTTAGTCCTGGTGTTAAGATATAATGCTTGATCTCAATTCTCAGGATAAATGTAGAGGTTTACTTAGTGCTAATCCATATAGAATACTTAAACTAGCAATGATAATTTCAGAAAAGGTGACCTTTGAAACTATGTATAACACCCGGTGCAGAAGCAAAGTTTCTAATAAACTGGTTCCTATAATTTCATTTGATCTGCATTGCTCTCTTTTGCCGTTTCACTCCTGCCACTTAGCAAAGGATTTAAAAACTTTCTCTCCTCCACAAATATCTACTTGTGACTGCGAGGGAGAAAAAAAAAAGCTCAAATCAATACCTGTGAGCTTATCTATAATGGAACTGGAAGCTCTTTAACCCTAGAACTGAACTGTCAGGCCTGATTGGAGATAATTGGGCGAGGAAGTTCTAAAAGTATAAGGAAAAATAAAC